TAATTGAAATAGCTCAATCACATCCTAAATTCATGGTGCGTATGATATCTTGATAAGTATTGTTGCTTTTATTAAGAAAAGCTCAATAAGTGATGCGTATCTGCATGGATATATATTACTATAGTAGTTGACCTTTTTCTGCGCTCACTGTTTCCCCACCACCGCCTTCCTCCGCCGTCAACCCACCACCTGAGAATCCAACATGAGGATTCTCACTGCCGTTCTCCTCCTCTTCTTCCTCTTCGCTGCACCATCCACGGCGGATATCAACTCCGTGGAGATCCAATCCAATGAAGATATCCTCTTCTCGGAGTTTGAATACTCACATACCGGCTACGTTTCCGTTTCTGTCTCCTCCGTCGGAATCTCGTCCACCTCCAACTCATCACAACCTGCAGATCCTTCACGTATTGGTTTCTTCCTTTTCTTGCATGAACTGTCAGAACGCTACCCCTTCCAAATCAAACCAAACCCTGATATGTGCGCCTTAGATATCAAGAACATCACAGTCCTCTTTACATTCCAAGATCTCTCGCCTCCTCCTCACCAGGGCCGGTCCATTGGTTTTGAATGCCTGGGCAAAATAATTAAATCATGCCCCTATATTCTATATAAAACAATAAACCAAACACATATATAGAAAAAAATTATAAAAGGAAACTGTAGTAAATATTATTATCGAACAATAACTTACAAAAACATCTAATACAGTGTTCTCATGCACTTTTTGAACAAAAATATATATTATTTTATGAGTTAAGACTCGGTAAATTTGATTTTTTATACTCAAAATTGCCCTATCCCTTCCCTTCTCCTTCTTTGGTGGGGAGGTGACGCAACTACATGAGACAATCAAAACCCCAACTAACTATCCATTAATGCTGCAAGAAAAATGTAAATACAAACAATCAAGAGCTAACATGAAAGATACAATAACAAATAGTCATAAAAATGAAATATAATAATTGAAGAAAAAAATAAAGAGCAATTATATATGTTATTTTAGAATATACTAGTATAACATATCACTTTTATCTTTAATTTTATCAGCATAACCACTTTGGTTCTTAACGTGGGATTCATATATTGAATAAGGCTCTAACCATTAGGAAACAAGCAACCCATGTACTGATAAATAGAATCAATCCTAAAAGTTTAAAAATGAAATATAATAACTGAAATGCAAAATAAAGAGCAATTAAATGTGTTATTTGTATGTTCATCTAAATAAAAAACACAGATATGACTTCTAGTCGATGAGTTTAAAACATCTAAACATTTATGACCATTGGAATAGTCTTTTCCTATTTGGACGACAAACGAATATAAATAAATAAAAAGAGCAAGTGGGAAGCTGGACAACGATACCATAAGTTTGAGATGCACATCAATGACTCAAAACATGCAGAATCATTAAATTCCGAAAGAGAGAAGATCAATTTGAGAGGTAACTAGTGTAGCAGGTATTCAAATCTTCAACCATCAAATAATAGCATTAAACTCTTAAAGCCTCATCAAAAGTACCAATCAAGTTTTGATTTAATTGTAAGTAAGAATAACTAATACCACCAGTTAGCTCATCAATACTTTTAAAAGCCAATATGAGTATATGACACCATCAGCCATTAAAACCGACCAAGGGCATAATGGTCAAACTCCTGATTTTCTACTTAAGAAAAGCACAAGAACTTACAATCATCAAGGGGTAGATCAGTCAAGTTTTCAAGGAAATGTACCAACAACCATTTAAAATGCAAGACTGTCGAGGGCAAAAAGGTCATTAAAACATCTTTGCCAATACGCCAAAAAACTGAAGGCAACGACAACACCACCAAAGAAGAGAAAATACACCATCAGAGTAAAGGGCAAAAGGTCACAGAGTCCAAAATAACATCAGAATTTAAACTTCCATATTAGAGAGATCAATACAACCGATGGCAAAATTCTCCAACAAAAACCAGCAGCAATCCTTTAAACCCATCGATGAGAGCAAGTCTGAGGGGCGATGGCAAAGTCTGATTGCGTGAAATAGCCATGTCTCCTCGTTTCCTGAATTGGCGTGTCTCCTCGTCTTCTGATGTTTTAAATTGGCGTTTGCGACCTGACGTATTAGTTTTCTTTTGCCGATCTGGTGATGCCCTACTACCCTTGGACTTGGTGGATCAAAATTTGGACCGAAATAATAATAACCCATCATAAGTGGACCAGAACTGATGCCCCTAATAGGGTGCTGCCCTGGGCTGTGGCCCAGCTCGCCCAGCCCTTGGGCCGGCCCTGCTCCTCACTCATCCTTTACTACAGCATACACTACTAGAAAAAACGAAAATACCTACAGCAAGATCAGTAGGTATACGGGTTTACCTACGGAATTGTGACGAAATGGTTGCCGTAGCATAATCGCTCGTGGGTAATTCTTAGCGACGGAATTGCGACGGATTTCCTATGGAATTCCGACGGCCATATTCTGTAGGTAAATTACCGACGGAATACCTACGGCCAGAAATTGCGACGGAATATCGACGACGGACACTTACCTACAGATTACCGACGGAAGTCATTTGCGACGACATTGTGACGGAATACCTACAGAATAGAGTACCGACGGAATACCTACGGAAAAAAATACCGACAAAATTGTGACGGATTACCTACGAAATTCCCTTTTGACTGGTATGGACTTATTTACCGACGGGCGTGCTTACCGACGACATTTTCGTCGGTATTCCGTCGGTAATAGTCATTTTATTTAATTATTAAATTTAAATATAAAATATTTCCAGTTTTTTTTTTGTCAAATATGCAAGATAAGTAAACACAAACATAATAACACTACAATTAAGGTTTCAAAATACACAAAAAGTATTCCAAATACACCAAGTTTGCAAAATAAGTGGACACATTCATTTGTTCCATTGTCACAACATTCATACCAACTAAAAATTAACAAACATTCATTCCAAATACCAACATGCATAACTTATACACCATCCTCGGGTGGAGTATGAGGTGGAGTATGAGGGGGATCATTGGCTTGATTTGTTGTACCATTCATCATCCTCGCCATCCTTTCCATTTGTTGTACCATTTGTTCTTGCAATTGTCGCATGTTAGAAACTTCTTCACGTAACCTACCAACCTAAAAAATGATAATAACAATGTTCTTGAATTTATTATAACAAAATAGCAATGTACTTTTGTTTTTAATCAATTGTATCCATAATAACCAAATACTACTTACCTTGTAAACCATAATAACAATGTACTTTTGTTTATTATCAATGTAATCCATAAGCACAACAAACCACCTAACTTTTAAACCATAATAACAATATACTTTTGTTTTTAATCAATTTTATCTATAATAACAACATACCTCTTCTTGTGTGTTGTTGTTGGATTGGGTGGACCGGGTAGATTCGGAAGATGTTATCCCAGAAACCACAAAATTGGCATCCGATGCTCCTATACCATAGATATGACCCTTCTTTTTTCCTCCTGTTCTCTGAATTTGGCTTTCAACCCATACCTCCGCATCGTACCTATGGTTTGCCGGGTCTTCTCCATATTTCATCACTAACCCCTCTAGATATGCATCCTACAATTTACCAAAACAACACCCTTGTCATATACAAAAAATTGAGACAGTCAATATAAAAAAATAATGTACTTTTGCATCTTTGGCTGTTTCAGAGCAATATTCTATATTTTCACGTTCTCCCTCAAAATATATTTTCTTCGACTCACTGGTGCCATGTGTCTTCACATATAGATCACAAAATTCGGGATCTTTACCCAGCTGTGCTTTCTACATAAAAGACAAAGTATAATTGATGCAGTCAGTGTTAAAAAAACAAGAATAATAAATTTTACAATTATGATACCAACCAATCTACGACGGTGCTCGGCATACCCTATGCTACCAGCCGTATGCCTTGATGTCTTCCCATTGGAATCAGGGGTGTTCCGGTTCGTCTGAGCAGCATCTGACAACTTTTTCCATTTCTCTGTGCTCCAATGCTGTTAAAAGAAATATATATTTAATAATATAATAAGTAATAAAAATCAACAAAATAAAACAATAATATATTGTATCTCTTACATCACACAAGCGTGGCCACACAGACTCTTGTACCATATGGGGACGGTATTGATATATCTCTGGAAAGTATTTAGAAAAATCTTTTTTAAGTGGTAACCCATCACGCCGTGCCATTCTGGCAGATAACTTCCTCAAATCCCTCATCCGGTCCCTGTATCTTTCCTTGAGGACATTATTGAATGTTGTATATATCGCCTCATTCTCCGTTGTGTACCACCTATATTTTGTCTATAAAAAAATAAAAAGTATACTTAAAAATAGAAAGTAAAAAAGAAATGAGTTTAAAATACAATAATAAATATTTAATATACTACCCTAAAACGTGCAAACATCTGTTTACGAGTCTTTTCCGTGATGCTCTTATATGTAGGCCACGCATCATCCATACTCTGCCAAAAGAGATCCATAACCGCGCTGTGGATAGAATGATCACCAAACCTACAAAAAAAACATATATAAGTGTAATTACAACATCAAACATTAAATATTTAAAAGATGAAAACACTAACTTATCCCCTTCTTTGTGGATAATGGGCAACGATGAGTCATCAAAATCACCAGCATTCGAGCCATGATCGCCTGAAATATCTCTGGAGGCGGAGCCATGTGGCGTCAGTGGTGTGTGTGGCATGACCGGTGTATCTGGCGTCGACATCTCTATGCCTCCACCCTCAAAAAAATAATCCTGAAACCCATCACCACCATGGGTTCTCAAAACTGTAGGTGAGGTCCGACAACCCCTTTGTGGGTGGAGGGGTGGGGGCGGGGGTAGGGGTGAGGGCTGGAACCCATAGCCTGTCCGTGTAAGTGGAGGCCGGGGCCAATAGCCTGTCTGTGAGGGATGTAATCGATGGCTCATTTGTTGGGATTGGGGCTGGGACACATAGCCCATCTGTTGAGCCTAGCGCATAACCCCAGCTAAGTCTGCTAGAGGATCAGCCATGTTGGTTTGCGGAGCAATGGCACCTTGACTATTAGAGCCTGCGACTCCAGTGATCATAGGCATGTCGGTCGGTGTGAGCAACGTCGTATGACGTTGCTCGTCAGTAGAATTTGGGGATGCCCTCCCCCTACGCCCCGTACTGCCAGAAGAAGGGTTGTTCTTCCGGCCTTTATCATTCCGTCCATTACCCGACATGCTGCATTTAATAGAACAAGAATGGTCAGATATATAATATAAGATTCATAAGTCAAGACAAAACAAATGTTTAAAACAACGAGATGTCCATACCAAAGTCATTACAAAAACAATGTTTCATTATAAGGTTAAAAAAGACAATGCTCCTAACATCAACAAATACAATGCTCCTAACATAAACAAAAGATAATGCTCCTAATATTCGTCCCCATCATCTTCATCTTCAAATTCTTCTTCTGAATAAAACAACTCGTTTCCATAATCCGTCACATTTTTAGAATTTGTCCCAATTTTCCATTATACAATTCATAAATTAATAAAATATTCAAATCATTAATTCCACTGTTTCATAATAAGATATATGTTTTGACTTTGAAAGCAAAACCTTATACAACCAAATCTAGAACAAACATGGACAGAATATTAAATTACCATATTAACCTTGATAAAAAAAATTAATTTAAAATACCTTTCATATCTAATGATTCTGCATAATTAGCTAATAATAAGAATCTTGTGTAAAATATCCAAAAACAATACAAAATCAAAACTAGAATCTTGATTAATTTCTTTTTCTATCTACATAGAATTTCCCATGGAAATTTACCTGGACAAGAAATCGAGCAAAGAAATCGAGCATGGAAATTTACGTGTTTATTTGACAGCTTTTGAAGTTATTTTAGGGGATGAAAATAGATGCATTGAAGTTATTTTAGGGATTTACCTGGAGAAGAAATCGAGCAAAGAGGGGTTCCACCTAGGGATGTCAATGGGTACGGGTATACCGGGTTTTGTGTTCCCCATCCCCATACCCAAATCCCCATCCCCATCCCCAATGGGTAATCGGGGAATTTTCTCTGTTACAAAGTTTTGAACTTTTATGAAAAATAACTCATAATTATATATGAACCAACAAAACAAAAACTAACAGAACTAATATAAAACACTATAATCACTGAATGTCTTCAAACACGAACAATAACATTCAAGGTTACTATAATAATGAATAATAAAAATTGTTTATCATTATTATTATTACTATTATGATATATATATATATATATATATATATATATATATATATTCATATTTTATTATTATTATTATTATTATTATTATTATTATTATTATACATACATACATACACATACACAATTACACAAACATTCACATATACCCATAGACACATACATTCATAGAGTTTGGTCAATATGTATAACCATGTGCACCTATAGATCCGTTACTCCTTTCACACAGTTACTTCTTTCACATACATTCACACATACAGACATATGTACATATGAATACATACACATACACAATTACAAAAACATTCACATATACCCATAGACACATACATTCATACAGGTTGGTCAATGTGTTTATATATGGATGTATGTATGTATGTATGTATGTATCTATGAATGTATGTGTATGTATGTATATATGTGTATATGAATCTATGTGTGTGTGTGAATGTGCGTCTAAGAATGTATGTGTAAATGTATGTTTTTATAGGTATATATGAATGTATGTGTAAATGTATATGTGTAGGTGTATGTATGTATATGTACATATGTGAATGTGAATGTAATTTTAAAGTGTGAAAGGAGTAACGGATAAAAATGAGTACGCCACTATAAACATCTAGGTATCATGTATAACTCGGTGATAGTATAGATAATCATGTATAATAATAGAGGTGCGAAAAAAACGACGTCCGGTGCCCGAAATCTCGGAAAAAAAAAAGTCCGTAGGTAATCCGTCGGAAATTACCGACGGAAAAGCGATGGATATCTTCTTCCATAGGTAATTACCTACGGAATACCTACGGAACAGGCCATCCGTCGCTATTCCGTCGGTAATTTCCGACGGATTACCTACGTATATTTTTTATTTTTGACATTTGGGGCACCGGACGTCGTTTTTTTTCGCTTCGTTTTTTTCGCACTTCTATTATACATAATTATCAATACTATTACCAAGTTATACCTAATATATCATACATACTTATAAAGCTAGCATTTTTTCTTGAATCTCATGCATTTGAAACCCCTTTTTTAACTTCCTCAAACCACATTCATTTGAAACCTTTTTTTTAACTAATGCAACTCAAAAGTTTTCTTAATTATGATTTAACACTCAAAAGTTTTATAACTTATATTATGTTTAATTAGCATTTAGTGAAAAGTTTACTATAAAAGGCCAATCTTTTGGAAAAACATGCATACAAATCATATACAAATTTCAGAAAGAAAACAAACTTAGAGGTTTTTGTGTTGGGTTGAGGTATTATGACCACTTTTGGAGATATGCTATTATATTAGAGCTTTTTAATTTGTAAGTTTGTTATACTAATTCATTTTTATATTTTCTTCGTTTTTGGATTATTGTAATACAGTCGTTGTATATTGTGGTTTAATCGTTAATATATTGATCATATGTTATATAGGGTGATGTCGAAAATATTTAGTTTATGTGTTATGCATCTTTCTATAATCACAGGATGATGAAGTGGGATTGATAATTACTTCTCACGAGCTTTTGGTAAATCAACTATCAAGTTATTTATAAGTTAGAACAATTAACTTTGTTAACATGTATGTATCTTTATGTTATCTCTCTCTTTTTTATGTTAAAAAAATATATTTTATGTACAAGAGAACATTATTCAACATGTATTTTATGGTATGTATATACTATGTTAGTTTCTATTTCTTATTTTGTAAATAACATCGATTGAGTAATTTGCCTTTATATTTTACACTACATTCAAAAGTTTTTTAAACGTATGGTTATTAATGTGCAATGCTTTTTATTTTCTACTTATTTAATATACACATTGTAGCTATATTAGTAGTATATAAGTAAGTTTTGATTAAAAGTATCATATGTTTGAAAAGATTTGTGATTCAAAATGAAAGAGTTGAAAAAAAAAGTTTTGTCATATTTACTAATCGACTTATTTTAAAACTCTTGATGACATTTATGTATAATGATATATTTTGTATGACTTCATTCTTAATTTCAATGTTGAATATTTTAAAGTTCATATATGAAACTTTGGATGTTTTGGTGTAATATAAATAGTGTAATACAAAGTTTATTAGTTTAATATTGTTTATTAATAGCTCATTCAAAACAACTTATTTCGTATTTTATCCAAAAACTATTATCGGATATAAGAAAAGTACATTATATTAATCTTATACAAAAACTTATAACATATATTAGATAGTATAAAAGTAAAAGAAACGTTTATAAGGTATTGACTATATTAGATAGTATCAAAATATAAGTTGATGGATTTTTATATTATTTGATAGTTCGGTTAATGCTCAAAACATGACTAAAAACGTAAATTTCAACATATTTCTATTTTTTCCATAATTATTTTAACCACTTAAATGCATTCTTGCGCAACGTGCGAGGTTACGCCTAGTCATACATACTTATAAAGCTAGCATTTTTTCTTGAATCTCATGCATTTAAAACCCCCATAAAAATTTGCCAACACCTCATGCATTTGAAACCCCCACACCCTTTCACCTTCAAAGTAATTAATCACACATAATCTCATTCCAAGAAAATCACACACTCTATAAGTTCATCATACATACTTATAAAGCTAGCATTTTTTCTTCAATCTCATGCATTTGAAACCCCCATAAAAATTTGCCAACACCTCATGCATTTGAAACCCCCACACCCTTTCACCTTCAAAGTAATTAATGACACATAATCTCATTCCAAGAAAATTACACACTCTATAAGTTCAACACTTCATATCATACATACTTATAAAGCTAGCATTTTTCCTTGAACCTCATGCATTTGAAACCCCCATAAAAATTTGCAAACACCTCATGCATTTGAAACCTCCTATTTTAATGAATACCACTCAAAAGTCTCTTAATAATGATTAACAATTCAAAGGTTTTATAACTTATATAATATATTTAATAAACAATTAATGGATACTCTACTATAAAAAGGTTAATCTTTTTTAGTAGACACACAAATACAAATCACATACAAAATTTACAAAGAAAACAAGTTTAAAGTTTTTTTGTGTTGGTTTGATGGCTTTGAACAATTTTTCGAGCCATGTTATTATGTTGAAGTTTTTAATTTGTAAGTTTGTTATATACTAATTCTTTTTTGTATTTTCTTGATTTAAGTATTCTTTTAAGAATATCATTGTATGTTGTGGTTGAAATTTTAATGTAAATTAGATTAGATTCATGTTATCGATCATATGTTATGGAAGATGATATATATAATATTTAATTAACTACTGTATACATGTTTGTATGTTCATGTTGCTTCAAAACAATAATTAATTAAAAATCATGGATATGTCATATTATCCATATTATCCATGTAAGCCTTTTTTAAAATGCAAATCGTCTATCTTATCACTTTATATTTTAGTATATGTTTAAAATTTTAATTATAACAATAAGTGTTTATTAGAAGTTTCTTTCACTTATTAATAATAACAAGTGGTTTTAAAATTAATAAGCAATAATTATAAATAATAAAATCAAATTACATGGATATGTCATATTATCCATGCAAGTCTCTTTTGAAATGCAAATTGTCTATCTTATCACTTTATTATTTAGTGTATGTTTCACATTTTAATAATAATATTAAGTGTTTCTTAAAAGTCTTCTTTAACTTATTATTAATAATAAGTGGTTTGAAACTAATGAATAACAATTTTAAATGATAATAACATCAAATTATAAATTACATTTAGCTATAAATAAATTGTATTTTAAATGAACATCATTATTGAAATTAGAAAATGATCGCATAAGTAAAAATATAATTAATCAATAATAATAATTGTTAAAAATAATACTAAATAGATAATTATATTTAATTATATTAACGAGGAATGTGGGTTGATGTCAATGAATATATATATATATATATATATATATATATATATATATTAGTGTGAAAATATTATCTCAAAGTTAATGTCAATAACATAACCATTTTAAACATATATTTTTCAATATCTTAACAATATATTTTTAATCTTCGCTGCGCAACGCACAGGAATTCGTCTAGTATATCTTATAATAAAGGCATTTTTCTAAGCACTACATTGATTTGAAACTTATGTCTTTTCATATTTCTTTGTAATAATGATTTTTAATTACCATTTAAGAGTTTTATACTTAATGGTACTTATGACACTAATTAATTAATCTTGGTATATATATAGTTCACATTGGTAGATTATTTTGGTAGAATTTATAATTTTTTTTGGTGATTGTATGGTAGATTGGAAGCTTCAAACAAAATGATTTATGTGAATAAAAACAAATTTTTTTTCAAGGTCTATTTTTATATTATGCATGTTCGTCTTTCGAACAAAAACATTGATTTATTTTATTTAACGTTTTAACATGATTTTTCTTTTACAAGTAATATTGTCTTATATATGAAAAAAGTAACTAGAAGATGATTTTCTTCATTGCATGACAACTAACCGATGATGAACAAATCTGAGCACAATAACTGAAGACTATTTCATTATGTTTGGAAAATAACTTAAGATGGATTTCTTTCTCTTTTCCAAAAAGATCAAGACAAGGAGCAAAATAGGTAAGGAAGACTTCGTGAAGATGGGTTATCTAAGTTATTGGTGACTAAAATGTGTGTGTGTGTGTATATATATATGTATATATATATATATATATATATATATATATATATATATATATATATATATATATATAAACACATTTGTAACATCACATTTATAGCATATTTTTATTATTATT